GGCTCATCAGTACTAACAGATTCTTGAAGGGTTTCTACCCAGAAATACCAGATAATCGACCTTCCTTTGAGAGTCTCAACCAACCATTCACTGCTGAAGTCACTTTTCTTGATGAAGAAGATTATGCGCAACAGAGAGAGACAAGCTGTGATATTTCAGACCTAGGGCGAACCAATTCTCTCCATTGACTGACCAGAAACGAAGGAAGAAGGGTCACGAACACTGCTGAGATGCTTTACGAACTGAAGTAGGTCAGGAACATGGCTCTGATACCATGTTTCGAATGCTGCTACAATAACCCGAACCAGGAAGATAAGGAAAAGAAGGGTCTGTCAAAATCTCATGGTCATCCCATTCAGTCAACCCCCTTAATAGTTATTAGATTCTAATGACACTTACAAAGACTAAACTACCCTTACTTAAGTGTGGGGCAGAGTGTCTCTAATAAAACTGCCACATAAGCAAACCACTTAACAAACATAAGATGACTAAACTACCCCTATTCGGCTCATTTTAACAATCCTATTGTTTCTCTCTTCCCAAATTGACCATAGAATGGCAACTCTTGTTATTCTCCACATTGCCCTGCCCCTTTTCCTTAGTTGTTAGAAGAAGTTAGAGTCAAAAAGGTTCAGCACACCCGAAGGGGGGGGGGGTTCCATCTATAACCAAACAAAGAAGAGAACCAATCCCACAAATAATAAGCAAAAGGACAAGAAATCAAAAGATGAATCGCCGTCCATCTCTTAAGCAAAGGTAACAGACATGTGGGGAAAGGCTCCAATCTGGCCTTTTTCTTTGAAGTACATCCATAGTACTGATCTTTTGAAGAGCTACTTCCCAGCAAAAAACCCTAACCTTTGGCAGCACAGGAGAACATTTATGACACAAATAACAATAAGACACATCCTTCCATGTGTCTTTCAACTTCGAATTGGCTTCCTTGTATTTTCTAGACCAATTGGATATGAACAAAGATTAAAATATCGATATGCCCGTTACCCATATGGCCATTAATTACTCCATGGTTTTCAAGGCGCCAAGATGAGGCTAGGCAACAAGGGGGCGCCTTGTCGCCTAGGCAATGTTTTTTTTAAGTAAAAACCACATATCCTAGGATAGTTCCCTAGGTTCCATAACCATCTTTCCTTAATAACCATCCATAATTTTCATAAGAAAATTATAAACTTCATGTTTAAGTCTAGAAAATCAACATATTTATGAGAAGAAAACGAAGAAAGAAAAGAAAAATAAAAAAAAAATATAGGGGCTGAACCCCTATTTTTGTTATAGGAAAAGAAGAAAAGAAAAGGTGGAAGAAGAAGAAGAAGAAGATGTGGAAGAAGAAATGTGTTGATTTAACAAAATTTTAAGTTCTTCCCTTACTTATTGATTCAGATTTTGAAGTCTTTGAGGATTCAATACAGCAGTTAGCAGTGTTTGTGTTGACTAAACCCTAGCAAATAAGAAAATAATAAAAAGAAGTTAGTTTATAAACACAAAAAAAATGAATGTTTTTGTTTAATAACGTCTATTTTGTAATTATAATATCAAAAATTAACAAGACAAAAGTATTTTATAAGACAGTATACAAAACTGCTTGGCGACTGGGCGAGGCAAGCCTCCAAGGGCGCCTTGTCGCCTAGTCATCGCCTTGACAACTATGTGTTACTCATCTTTTTTTTCTTTTTTTTATGTTATAATGATTAAGTGGTTGGGGAAGAGGGCTGGGATGGTTTAAACGTTAAAAACAAAAAAAAAAAAAAAACAAAACTTTGTATCAGTGTATCCAAACGTATTTGGGTACAACAATATCGAGTGTATCGTATCGATATTTTAATCCTTCGATATGATAAGTCAATTCAATCCAGGGTTCGTTCGGTTCACAGCCGGAATCGGAATCGGAATGGTCTATTCCCATAGTCCGTTTGGTTCAGACAGGAATGGGAATGAAAATTGGAATCAGCAGGAATGGAATTTCATTCCCAAGGGAGGGATAGGGAATGGCCATTAACTCAAATGGGGGAATGCCATTCCAGCAGGAATGGGAACGGGATTCCGATTTCACCCAACCAAACGGTTGGAATCGGAATAGCCCATTCCGATTCTGAAGCAAACGGGGCCCCAGTTTTCTAGCCTGTGTGCAAGGCTTTGATGTTTGATTTGTATTTTCTGTATCCAAGTAACATGGTTGATAACTCTCTTCAAAGATTATGCTAATCCTAGCAAGTAGCAACCAACCCAGCCAACCCCAAAGGGATAGATCCCCATAACACTCAGAAACATAGGGAATGATCTATTATCAACTGAAGCACCTTAAAAGCATAGCAACAAAGTTGCCTTCTTAGACTAATCTAAGAGATACCTTTAAATACAAATGAAACATCTTTTTTGAATTTTAACTAGAAATTCAATTGCAACTCTTTCTATATATCAACTTTGCAAAGAGTTATAGTATGAATTCCACCCAGAATTTTGGATTCAGTTCATCCACTAACATTGTTATATCTATGAAGACCTCTTATTCTTCAATGTCAGGTCAAGATTTCCCATTGCTAGAGGCACCTCACAAAAACCTGTAATTCAGTATAATGTATATAATTTTAATCTATTAGGCAGTTTTGTCAAAGTGTCAATAGTGAATTGAGGGTCAGACCAATTGCATCACTAATAGTCAGTCACTACTTATGATAAAGTTGCCTAGGATGACTAAACATCAACTAGGTTGATTGATCACAAAGTTACTTTCAAGGTATCTTTGTTTTTATCCCTAATTATTTAAAAGAATATGTTTTCATTGTCTATATGCATGATATTGCATCAAGTATTTGTGAATATGGTTGGCTGACGGTTTATAAAATAGAAATAAGGCATAAAGATAAAAGTGGAGGTTGGGTTTTTTAAGTTTTCTTCCAATCAATGGTGTGCTGATAAGGAATTGCCACAAACAAGGGGTACATCACATGGACAAAGGCTGCACTATTTCTTTGAAAAAACAAAGGATTAACTCCCTATAGTAGCCTATCCAGCCTGACTTTATTCGTCTGTTTGCAAAACAATAACTGTAAATTAAATGTTTAGTATCATTCTTTTGTTCCATATTTACAACCCATATTAATTTATTTATGAGACAGAATCAATATCTTGAATTCAGAACACACCTTTTCTCTGGTCATCTAGCCAGCACCTAAGCACAGAATAGTCACTGCATCAACTAGAGAAACCAAAAATGACTAGTAGTCATAACTTCTGCACTGCTATTAGGATTTTCAGAAGCAATTGATGCACTTCTACACATGCAAGGACCTTGATACCCAACTAGACAACCAGCCAAACAGTGCACACAAGCTGGTCAAAGAGGTATGACTAGCAATGACCAAGAGAAGTCCTTAAGTAAATACTTAGTTCGCTTATCTCATGTGGGCCTTTTAATCACTTTACCTCAAAAAATTTTGAATGGGAAGATCAATTGTTGGAGAGGGGTCACGGACAGAGACATGGAATGAAACATGTTGGAGAGGCAATTTGGGCAGGCTCAGGTTGAACACTTGTCAAAATTTGAATGGGCCCAACAGAGGTCGATGCAGTGTAAATAAGATACCCAACTTGCACCCTTAGTGCCTGTAATGTAGATGAGGGATCAACAAAGAGGTAGGCTATCAGGATAATCTAAAGGGATGGGAGGGAGTGCTGGGCTCTCATTGTAACTGTTAACTGTTTTATATATATTTCCTATTCTTTTTCAAATATGAGCATGAGTTACCAATCAAAACAAATATACAAGAAAAAGGAGAATACAGGGGAGACCAGAATATGATCCAATCAACTTCATTGCCTAGGCACCAACTCTTCAATACTTTGTCTAGGGAGGTCAAAACAAGTAGGCTGGACTACACTGCAATGATATCACATACCCTAGCACTATGACTAAAAACAAAGAACAATCTGAATAATAAGGATTTTGTTCATGAAGAAAACCAGTCAATAAAGTTATGTTCCAACTAGTATGATGAATCATACAATTCAATTATCTTATTGATCATATTTGGGAGTGAGGGTGAAGGATGGGGTTCGCTCTAATAAAACCATCAGCATAACCTCTTTAGAGGGATTTGGCAGCATAGCCTGCACATGAACCAAAGATCCTTTAGGAAGTTGCAAGTACACATGATGCAATCCCATAGTTGAAGTGCACAAACCTCAAACATCCTACTTCTAATCCTAGACTCTGGATCTACTACAGCGGAGATAATAAAATTATGCCCCATCTACTATGATGAATCAAACAAATCAAGTATCATATTAATTATATTTACGGGTGAGGGATAAAAGGGATGAAATTCACTCTAATAGAATCATCAACACAGCCTCTTTAGAGCGATTTAGCAGCAGCATCTCCACATGAACCAATGATCCTTTAGGAAGGTGTAAGTAAACAGGATGCAATTATTGCAATCCCATGAATGAATTGCACAAACCTCGAACATCCTACTTCCTAACCCAAACTCTGAATCTACTCTGCCTAAGTGAACATCCTCTACCTCCAGGCTATCATCAATCTTTAAACAATCTGCCAACGTCCGTCCTCGGTATGCAACAATACTTTCCCACTGGCAATCTTTTTGCCAAATATACAAACTCAACCAGTCATTTCGACATTTTGGAGATACCGAGCTTTCAGAAATCTAAAATGAGGGGGAAATTCTACCAGGTGCCAATAATAAAGTAACATTAATCACGTTAATTATGCCCATGACACCCAAGATAATCAAACAACAAAATGAGAACTTGTCACAAGTCCATATGGTTTCAATATCTCGGAGGGTGCACTAAGGCAAGCATAACAGAGGTTTAAAACTGAAATAACCCTAATATATACCATGAATACCCTAAGCCCTCGTTCACCGAAACGCCGCGAATGGAGTATACGAAGAGTAACAAACGATACACAAACAAATGCACCTTGAAATGAAGCCAGTAAGTAAAATAAATAAATGCACCTTTCAGCTCGAGAACTTCGTTTTTCTTCCTCTGATAGCTGAACGGGCATCCCGAAACGCTCTGCGCGGCGGATCTTCTTCTGAAGATCGGAAACTGGACCGGCGGCGGCCGTGGGAGAAGATAGTGGAGCTTCAGCGTTCACAGAGATGTTTTCTTTCGACTCTTCTCCTTCGCGTTTAGGTGCATCTGGTACTGGATCAGAAGACCGAGCGGGAGAATTAGGAGACTCGTCGAGACGTGCAGTGAGCGGTGCCTTGTTAGGAACTGTTTCTAGGGTTTTTTTCGTGAGTTCTTTCCCTTTTGGTTTCGGCATCTCGGTCGTCGCCATTAAAGAAGCCTGTGCCGGTGCTGGTGCGAGATGCAGTGTGTACGTCCACTGTAAATCAATGTCGATTGATACCAGAAAAAATGAAAAATCTTCGCTGTTCTTTTTCTCTTTTGTTGAGCTTCTCGGGAGCGCGACCAGTCCCAGGTTCTATATTCTATGTTACGCTGGACACGATTATTCCATGCTCCCCTACGCCTTATAATATACTCGCTTGCATCGATCGGTGGCATTCAGGATAGTTGATCAATCTATGTATCGTGATGTGATCAAACGGTTGTTAGAAGCGGACTTCTATGGGTCTATAGTGGCCCAAGACCAAAAAGGCTCTATGTGTCCACCATCATCCGTTGCCCAGTGCGTGTAACCCGTGGTTTTGTACGAGGTGGGCTTCGAATTTCGATTCCCGGGCTTCACACTGGGCTTGGATCGGCTAGCTTCGGGCCTTCGGGTAAACCTCAATTTGGTTGGGTTCGGGTTAACCGTTTCGGGTTGTCAAAGGTTTGCCCATCAGATATACTGGTAAGCGTGTATTTGATTTTTACGTAGAAATTTAGATGTTGATAATGATAGTAATAATATATTCAAAATTTTTTATAAATTTTAAATATTTTTTATTTTTTGTTTTTAATTACTAATAAGATGCAAATTGTAAAATCCAAATTTAATTACACAAACACTTCATTCAAATATGTGATAATCATATTAAGTTATGAATTTTCAAGTATAATTGAGAGACCTATCTACTTGGCTAAATTATTTTTTTTGTAGCGTTTTTTCTTTTTTGTGTATCTTTTTTATTTTGTTCATCTATAAAAAAAAACGTAAGATTTAAATAGAGGAAATTGAATAAGGTGAAAAGTAATAGTTTAATTTACAATCTAAACCTTACAATTAAATAATGACTAAATTCAAAATTGAGTATTTTTAAACAAAATAAAGTTTCACAATCCAATTCATATTTTAATAGTAATGTAAATATAGAATTATTGATGCATTCAAATTTTTATATTTTTTTGTATTTTTATGTGTAAAAATAATTATAATATATCACAGTTACCTTTTATTTAATATGATAAATATATGATATTATGCATGTGCTTTAATGCTTTAAAAAATATATATATATTTTTATTATTTATTTATGACATTAAAAAAGTTAACGCATTTAACCCATAAATATTGACATGGGACACAATATTTAAAAATTTGTGGCTATTTTAAATATGTTATTACCAAATTGTGACTTTATAGGTTGATCATTTTGATTTAGATGGTTGAATTGCTTAACCACCACTTGGATAAAAAAAATGGTTTTATTTTCGAGTCAATTTTAAAATATATGGGTCTATAATGTTAAAAATACTGACATAAATCTAATTAGTAGCATTTATTAGTGAAAAATAACATAAAAATATATGATTAATAAGAGAAAATGTGATTTAATGCCTTAAATATAGAACTTAATGAGAGGGGATTAAATGAGGTGGCAATTAATAATTGATATTACATTTTCAACTCTTACAATTAGAGATAGATTAAATAGACAAATATAGGCATTATAGTAAGTGTCTATGTGGCAATTCAAGATGATGATATGATAGTAGTAATATATCAAAAGTTGTATATAAATTTTATGTATTTTTTATGTTTTTATAATTTTTATTAATCGGATGCAATTTGTAAAATTCAAATCCGATTGCATAAACACCTCATCCAAATATGTGATAATCGGATTGAGTTGTGAAGTTTCAATTATCATTGATAGGCCTACCTACTTAGTTATATTATTATTTTTTGTAGTGTTTTATCTCCTTGGTGTGTGTGTGTGTGTGTGTGTTTTGTTTATTTGGTTCATTTATCCAAACAAATGTAATATTTAAATTAAGGGAATTGAATGTGGGGTGAAAAATAATAGTTCATTTTACAATTTAAACCTTGCAATTAAACTATACTAAATTCAAGAATGGGTATTTTAGTTTAAAAAAAGTTCCACAATTTTGTTCATATTTTTAATAGTAGCGTAAATATAGAATTATAGATGTGTTCAATTTGTTTTTCTACATTTTTTGTGTATAAAAAAATAATTATAATATATTACACTTACTTTTTAATTTAATATGATAAATATATGATGCTATACATGTTCTTGCATGCTTGCTTGCAAATTTTATTTATTTTTTATTTTTGTATTTTGATATTTTATTAATTTTTATTATTTATTCATGACATTAAAGGTTAATACATTTAACCCATAAGTTTAACTATTTATTATTAATTTTTTATATTTCATTTTTGTTTAGTTTTAAATTATGTATTTTATTTTCATTATAAATAAATATAATTATTGTTTATTACGCATATTTTTTTAATCTGATTAATAAAAATATCTTAAATATATCTAATTCTACTTTTTTTTGTAATTCTCTATATTTATTTTTATTTTAAAATTTTTATTACCTCGCTATGACTTCATTGGTTGATTAATTTAATTTGGATGGTTTAATTGCTTAGCCACCACTTGAATAAAATTTGATTTTATTTTTTAGTTAGTATTAAAATATATGGGTTTATATTGTTAAAAATATTGACATATATTTAATTAGTAGTATTTATTAGTGACAAGAATAGCTTAAAAAATATAGGATTTAATATCTTAAGTATAGGGCATTAAGACTTAATAATAAAGGGTTAAATGTGGTGCAAAGTAGTAATTGAAGTGATATTTTCAGCCCTTATAATTAAAGATGGATTAAATACACAAATATAGGCATTTTAGTAGCCATTAGAACTGGCGTTATAGTTAAAATAAAATAACTTTTCTATCATTTTCTCAAACAAAAAGGCAGTGGATAATTTTAGTAAAAAAAAAAAAAAGTTTCACATTGCATTTACACTTTTGTATATGGTATAGATAGATGTATTGAGGGCTGGCTCATTGGTGTGTTACTTGGTTGATGTGGAATCAAATCCCGAAACCAACACTTTGGGGGAAAATGGGCCTCTACTCTCTATATATAATGGGGTAAAATACAAAAACCTCCCCTAAAGAACATTGACATAGATGAAAAATGTTAGATTGATGCATCAATATTTTCTAAATACCCAATTTAGCCCTTTTGTCATTTTCTTCATACTCTTTCTTTGTTGCTTTATTCCTCCTCTTTCAATCTCCCAAATTCCATCATTGAAACTCCATCAACTCATTAGGTTGGCTCTTGTTACTCCATTTCTTTAATCCATTATTTTTCTTAGTAGCTATTCTCTTTAATAGTAGGGAAGAGCAATTTACTAGATGGATTCAAAAATAAAACAAAAAACAAAAGTTGGCTTTAACCATTCAGTCCACCCCTAGGGTGGAGCTAAGATTTTTAGGGGTGGACTAAATCCTGGTCGTGGATTGATGCCAAATCCATGGGCATGATGCGGTTTATAGGGAGGCTACTAATAGACTAGGAGGGGGCTGCAATTTCAGATTTTTGAGGTGGATTGCAGTCCACTTATCCCAAAACAATAATATTTCAAGATCTATAAACATTCGTAGTTTACATCATACCGAGAAAAGAGTAGCTGTGAACCCCTCCATCCAAGCTAGGGCTACTAAACCAACTCCCCATAAAACTAAGTTCCTTTCCATGCTCTGTTTTCAGCATTAAGATACACTCGCCTTTCATCAGAACTTGAACTGACATGGAAAAATGACCAAAACCAATTAAAGAAGCCATGTCACTTGAAACAAAATAAAGAAACCATTGATTGCAATCAAACTCATCTGCTCCTCACACATGGGCGCTTCACAGGCACATCCACTGTGCATTGAGAACATTTCCCTTGAATAATAATTTATAAATACGGGAGATGTTCCCATGTAGGATGTGCGTATGAGGCACAGATCCAGTCTCTCAAACTCGTTAGTCTTAGCACCATTTCAATATAAAAAAAAGGCAAAAAATGAAAGATATCTTTTTAGAGATAACGAAGGCAGCAACCAAGCAAGCAAAGCGCCCAACATATGTGAAATTCTGGAATCCTAGAGATCGGAGAACGTTGTGTTTGATTTCTATCCATTTTAATCGATCCCCACATATTCCATGCGAGTATATTGAAAGAGGATGCAGAAAACGACAAGGGAGATTGAAACGTCTTCTACAGTATTTTACGATATTTCTAAATGATGCCCTGGGGCAATTCATATACGTGGACGTTTTCTGTTCGGGTCAGTGATGAATGGGAGGTTTTTGTCATTTTTCTTAATTTAAGAAATTTTTTTGTTAAAATAAAATTAAATGAGAGATTTTTATAATTATCAGAAACTTCAGTGAAGTTTTTTGTATTTTACCCATTGTTTACTTTATATCTATTGCAAGTTGATTACAATCAAATCATGCACAAACGTACACATATTATGCTTTGTTGAGTGTTGGGTGCACTTTGTGATAACAAATCACGATTTACATATACAACGCTTCCACGCAGAAAACAATATCGGTTCATTTGTGTAAAGAGGGGAAGGCTCCTCCTAACGAGAGATACTTGTCATGCAAAATTGCAAACCACATTTGCTAAGGACACATTATGGGTAGAGACCGGATCTTGTCCTCGCAAAGTGCATCTGACACTAACTTCATAGGCACGTCTCGAATTGGGATCTATTCCTCACATGGCACGCCTTATAGGCTCACACCAATCTTACAATCACATCTCACCTTGTATTGGGAACATTTCTCGTGAATAATAAATTTAAAGTTGGGAGATGCTCCTTATGTGTGGCAAAGACATGCTGTGAGGTTGGTGTAAGCAAATCCAGACTTGCACATCCCACCATGTATAGAGAACATTTCCTATACTTATGTGTTATTATTAATAAAAGATGTTCTCCATACACGGGAATGTGTATGTGAGGTCCGTGGAGATGTGCTATATGACATTATGAAGAACATATCCCAATTCTTATAGGAGTAGATCCCAATACTTCAACTTGATCAAGTAAAATCTTGGTGGGAAAATCAAAGGCCATGATTCCCCATTGGGATAAGTAGGCTGCACTAAAACTCATAATTCCAAATTCTTCTACTAAGACTTATAAAAATTCAAAATTTCAAACACCTCCATTTTAAACACTAATACCCGCTCCATAGGGGTGAGCAAAAAAAATAAAAAAGAAAAACTGAACCGATCGATTCGGTTTTGGTATTTTTAAAAAACCAAAGGTAATGATTCGATTTCAGTTAACCAATATAGAAAAACATCGATTAACCAAATCGATCCATATATATATATTTCTATATATTTTATATATATTTATGTATATTATATATTATAAATTAATAAATATGTATTATATATAAATATATATTATACAAATTAAAAAATAAAAAAACCAATAAACTAAATTGATTCAACAGTAAAAGCCCCTTCATTAGCAAGAGTGAAATCGGTTACGTGGCTATTTTTTAGCGGTCGATGGCCATTCGCTCCTTCGCGAACCCGTGGCAAGTGGCAACCACGTGTAAGCTGATTCGATATTTCTTTTATACGAGACTGCATTGCATTCGACCAGAAAAATGAGAAGGGGCGAAGGATAAGAAAACATCGCGAGCTCGACGTCCTCAGCTGAACCTGAAGCTGCAGGAGGCATTTACATTGATCCTCTCCAGTTGTAAGCATGGGGTTCACTTCTGTGGTCCACAATGGCGTTGGGTCTCGACTGAAATTAGATCTAGGGCTTCATAGACTTTCTCCTCCTTCACCAATTAAAGCTTCGGTTAGATCGTTGGTTCACTTCACACACCAGAACGATGTCTTCCGTGCTGGTATCAACATTCGTCTTTGTTTTTTTATTTTTTTTTTGTTTTTAATGCCATTTCCCTGTTGGGTTTGTATTAGTTATTCTTGCGAACTTCTCTATCTATTTCTCTCAAATTTGCAGTGGAGTATCGTCGTCGAGTTCGTGTCGCACCAATTGTTTGCGCCCGACGGACTGAACAAGAAGAAATTTCGTCAGCTTCAGGTGAATTTATTCATTTATTTTTTAAATCTAAATCATGGATTTTATAGGCGCAATTCTCCGTGGGTGGAACATTCATAACAACTAGTCGTAGGTAGGATTTATATTCAGTCCATATTCCATACAGTAAAAAGAAAAATTCTATTCTATCAATGAGAACAGTTCTTGTGGATATTTCGTCCACATACCACTCACTGATGCAGTGTTCATTAACAGCTGAAAATTGCATTTTCACTTTTCATGATATTATCCTGGACAATTTTACCACTCAACCAAGAAAATTACATTGTCAAATGAATAAAATGGATACACCCAAAGTAACGGGAGTGGTAGCACAAAAAAGGGGTGCGATTTATGTTGGAAAATGTAAATGAGCAATAACAACCTAATCTGATAAAGTGATGCTCCTATCTATGTATAACGTACTAGGGACCCCCTGCATCCAAATTTCTTAGCCTAGTTATTTTCAATTTCTTTAGTTTTTAGTAGACTAGTGGTATGTATCATGTAATTTTACATACGTAATTTGATGTGCATTAGTCTCACTGTTGGTAGTGAGGGATCCATCTATGGTATGTTGTTTATGAACACAGATTTGCCTATTTTTCTAATTTATGTAGAGGGGCTTATAATCATGAATATAATATTCTTCAACTAGTTTAATTTTGCGAAGATGCAGAGTTCCTTGTAAACATTACTGTATGTTTAATATAATGCACATACAGATTGGTTGATTCAAGCCTTACTTGTTTCTAAATACAGCAAATGTTTCTGTAATCTAATTCTAATTACTTCATACATGTCAGAGAGCTCTACGAAACATTTCAGAATCCTGCAGATTCCCTATAGTCTGTCTGAATATAATATGATGGTGAAATGGATCTGCAGAAGAAACCGGAAGGACCAGTTATCAAGCACATGATTACAGTGACAATACTGACAATGCCTCCCACTCCATCTCCTCTGCTGGAACTCCAGGAGAAATTCAGGAGCGTGACCCTGATTATGTGTCATCCATAAGAACTGTTGCATTATGTGTGAGTGCTTCTTAGTTAATAATTATTGGTAACTATCCTGATGCCTTGATTTCTGTTGGTCCTTTATTAAAATATATAGCATACTTCATCTTGCAGGTTTGCACAGCAGTGGTATTTGGTGTTGGTTTGGGCTTTAAAGATGGAGTTGGAAAGGCATACGAGTTTTTTGCCGGGTATGAAGAGGGCATAAACTTATACTGTGATTTAGATGTTACCTGTTCAGAGGTCACTTCTTCAACCTCTACCTTTAGAACAAAGTGAAGGTGATGCATGGGGGGGGGAGAAAATAAACATACATGCTATCATCTGGTTACATCATTACCAAAGATACCAAATTATATTAGGACCATGACCTGTGGAAAACGTAAATTTACTGAATTAACTCCATCCAAAATTTATAGGGACCTTTTGGTCCAAATTGTGAAAAATATTGTATGTTAGGAATAAAAATACAAGTTGCTGAACCAATAGTTGAAACTTGACATGATCGCTGACACCATGGAAACACAAAAGGTGAACAGGGAACAACTGTATTGGGGTGTCTTGTAATAGGGAACCATATGTGAGGGGAGGGGGCATGTGCCAGCCTTACTAGGGGTGTAGGTACATAGTGGTCGCTAAGACCATCAAAGTATGGGGGGTGTCAAACCAACGCTACATGGACGCTTGCGGTGAACCCATAACTCATCGCACATTTGTGATGAGTTTATCGTAGATCTGCGATTGCGATGAACTCATACCTGGGACAGGTTGCGATGAAAATCTGCTAGCGCGGATTCGCGATAAAGTTAAGACATGCGCGGGTTTGCGATGAACCCTGGACACACACGGATTTACGATGAACCCCGAACACGCGTGGAGTTGCGATGAACCCAACACCATTACAGAGCTGCGGAATCATAGTAGATCGGGAATAAATGCCGGTTACATGTGCATTTTTAAATTACACATGCGGGTTTAATGAAAGTACGCCTGCCAAACGATGACGTCACCCACGTCATGTCAGTATAATAGGGTTACATACGGAGAGAATCCAGAAGAGATGATTCTCTAATAATGATCCTTTAATAGTCAAACAAAAGAAAAGATCTCATTTCCTAATAGGAGGGATCCTCTTTCCTAATAAAAAAGAACTCCTTCCTTGATAGCCTTAATTCTCTCTATAAAAAGGGGAGAGCAATTCTTTCCTGAGAGACAACAGAATACAACCTTGACCTAGGGTTTCTGAGAGAGAGGCAACTCCCATCTCTCATCTCTTCTCTTCCTCTCTATTCCTCATGTCCCCTCTCTTCCCCGTCGCCATCTCTGGACCTTCGGAGAATTGACCAACTGCCAGGAGTCCACGCTGAAAACAAGGGGAAATTATTCTATGCATGTGATTAACTCGCTATTATTTTTGCCAATAAAAAAAAAGCTACTAGTGTATGTGGCTTTTCTTTTGGTGTTTTCCTGAGTTCTAAGCTAAACATTGATGTTGTCTACTGCCTGGGCCTTTTCTCATGGACACTTATGATTTTTTATTTTTTGATAAATGACACTTGTGATTTGCCACTTAAGATAAAAATTTAAAGAAAGTAAAGACAAACATTTTAGCATTTTTTATTGTAAGTCTTGGAATGATTGTAGTAAATGAAAGAAGATTTTGTATTTGGAGGCATAGTTTTACTTGTCTTTATCAGATTCTGAAATCTGACTTTTGTGGGAGGTTCTTTCAGCTCAATTTCTTTGTGAAAGGGACTATTCTTGGGCAAATTGATATGAATTACATGAATTGGATAAATCATAAGATTCACAAATTGAATAGTAAGAGTCAATCATTAATTGTAAGATCTTTCCAGGAAATCAAAACATTTAGGTCATATGGTAGATCATATTATTTTAGCAACTATGTCCTTGTGCCAATTTTACATTTGGTTATTCGTAGAAGCATTTGGCCCCTTAATATCGATGTTAGTTGCACTTTTTCATTTCTTGAAGCAAATTCAATTCTACCCTTTCTCTAACTTACACGGAACCATTTCTCATTGATAAATTTGTTAGTCTTCACCTGACATGGACAAACCATTTCATTCTACTTTCTTTTACCTTTTCTTTGCTGCTAGTTTCTATCCCTTTATCCCTTGAGTTTTTTCTATCCCGTTATCCCTTGATTACAACCATTTCTAGTTATTTCCTTGTAGTTTCCATCCCTCTATAGTACACTCATTTTGATGATGCATTATTTGTTGATATTGCACAACATTCTGCTTCATAAAGCATCACCACTGAAAGTGTTGTTTGGTCTTTCTTAAATGGACCTAAATGTCTGGTGGTAACATGTCAAATTTCAATACTCATGTACTCTTGATGGTTACTGCTGCACATCGGTTTCTTTTTTCTATTCATTTTTTCCCTCTTTGCTTGTCTGACATCAATAAATACTTAGCTTACGCTATGAAATCAATATTGTTTGATTTGGATCATCATTGAAAATATTTTGAATATTTTAAGGACTTTCTTCCTCACCATATTCTCCATGTTTAATTTGTTGCTTATGATACATTTACTTTATATAAGGGCTTACTGGACATAAGTTAGGGGCTATTGCTTGGTGCAACGATAAAATGTCTGGTTGACAAGCATGAGAATGTGGGTTGAAGTCTGAGAACAGTCACTTTGTGCAAAAATTCCAAAGGTTAGGTCCATATCCAGTTGACCCCTCCCAAAACCTTGCATAGCCAAGACAAAGATTGGGTAATGGCCCTTTATTACTTGATTTAAGTTCTGATGTCATTATCCAACTCCATTCTCACAATGTTATGCTTGTTGGTTTTGTCTCCCTTGACTTCAAATGGATGTTGTTTCTTCTGTGTCACTTTATTATCAATAGCAAATATATTGTTTTATTATATTTTCAGGTATCTGCTGGAGCAAAGTTTGTCAGTAGACAATCTCTTCGTCTTTGTTCTGATTTTCAAGTACTTCAAAGTACCAATTATGTATCAGGTGCTGAGTGGCATGTGGTTTCATGTTTTACTTTCTTAAATCTTAATGAAGTTTGATACCCTCATTTTATCTCTTCAGGTTCTGGTTATGGATTCTTTGCTTTCTTAATTACATAGAAAACCATTATTTTTTTTCTAAGTGATAAATCTCATCCTATCCCAATCCTTGTCATTGGGCTTCTTGTTATGTGTCATTGAACTTTTTGTTTTGGTGAAATACAGAGTCGGGTGCTCTCGTATGGCATTGCTGGTGCAGTTATATTTCGTTTATCAATCATTCTTCTTGGAACTGCCACCATTCAGGTTGTTAATCTACTTTTTGATGCACACCTCATGTTTTTCTTCTTTTAATTGTATGTTTCTCAATTCTATTGGGTAACTTATTGTGTTGTTATTCTAGAGGTTTGAGGCTGTGAACCTACTACTGGCATCAATTCTACTGTACTCATCATTCAAGGTGCAGTTTCTCTTTTATGTTCATAGTTAAACATGAAGATATATTTCAATTATCCTCTTATTTTTGGCTTGCAAGTTGTGAAATGTATTCTGTTGGTGGTTTTAATGAATAAGTTAGAAAAAATCGTAATACAGCTTTCCTGTTACACATTGTGAAAACTCCTTCATTGGATAAGTTTTAATGAACTTATAACCAGATCAAATGAAATTCATTATTAATGGAGAGAAGAGAAAGAATGCAGGCAGCAAGGTACAAGAAAAAAACAAGGACAAAAAGAAAATATAACCTTCAAGGGTGATCCCCTGCAGTTCCCCTATATATATCCAAATATCCAATATAGGATACTCAGGAAGGGTCAAGTCTTATCCTGGGCCCTGACTAAGGAATCGGCTCTCTTGTTGCAAAATTTGTTGTTATCAGAGTAATATACTCCAAACTTTGCATATGAAAGCTCTGCAACTGTTGATGTTTCGAGTTTTAGAAAAATTGCCCTAATAACGGTTAGCTAAGCAAGGGGCCTCAAAGGAACATTTATTTTGGGCTGCACTGTAATTTTTATTTCTGTTTTAGCTTGATGTAATACTTTGATAGGAGAGGTAACATCTCGTGCCTCTCCATGGGTATCCTGTAATGCTTTAATTTTTCTGGTTTAATAAAATTATCTTCATTCATAAAAAAATGTCCTAATAGCTTATCAACTATATGCCTTTTGTGAAACTGAAAAGTTTTCCCTCGACTTGGTTCCATCCAGCTGAGGAACTGGACATGACAGGTTCCTAAGTTGAATGAGCAATCAAGTCTTCAGAAATTCTCCTGCTTAAGGATATTAAACCATGGGAAGTCTGATGAACGTGGAAGTTTCTCTGCTAGAGATCTTCTTATTTACAATACAAAATTTTGATTCATAGGTAAAATGTACAAGCAGCAATGAGTAAATGAAGAACAGGATGACTGTTGAGTTGAAACTTGAAACTTCCAAACATTTCAATTATGACATCATTGGGCATAAGTGTCCAGTTTAAGGGAGTGTATTATTAGGCTGGTTATGAGGATAGTTTTTTGGAGACATTTAGTTTTGTTGTGAAATACATTTTGTATTGATAAACTTTATAGGACCATTTCTTGGCCCATTGATAAAATCTTTATCATTGAGACCCACGTATAAAAAAATTCTAGAGGAATCAAAAAAGTGGGACACTCCAACCAACCTACCTCATAAACTCAAAACTCATAACAACCTTGTCTCCTTAGCCCAATAAAACTGCTGCCATCTTTGTAGCCAACTCTCCCTGTCTTGACGTAAAAACCCTTTCCTCAATTGAATCAGAAAAAAAGACTTCAAAGATGGGATTTGCGTTCTCTTCAACCTCTACCACTAGAAATAGTACCTTTACCTCTTTCTCTCTCCTCTTTTGCCCTCATGGTTGAATCAGAGATATTCTCCCAATGAGAAGCATTAGCCAAAACCTTGGTGAAATCTTCCTCTACACTCTTGGATATGCTGCCTCTAATGAATTCCTCCAGTAGAAAGAATTGGTGGTTCCCAATTAGCTTGAACATTCAGATATTCCATTTCCTGTTCCTAAAATATAGTCTTCTCCTGCATGAGAATTTTAAAGGCATTCACCAACTGGTTGCTCCTTCTTTTCTTTACCTTCTAGTGTTTATTATTCCAAGGTATTCTTTCACTTTAAAGTCCTCCCCTTCCCCTAATAAAACACTTCCAGTTTTCTGATCAAGGCAATTTTTTTGCCCAGAGCTTCAGCACTTTTTTTGTCGGTTCTGTACTGGGTTTACCCTGACCTGGCCCAGATCTGACCCATTGACAATCCCATCAACTAGAAAATATGTGCCCATTCATATGTGATATCCTTCTACTCAGGATTCTGCTAGACTGAATACTGTGGCTGTTCTGCAGGAAACCTGGACTTCTAGGGCTGGAGATGCTTTTCAGTTGTGTCCTTGCCATATCTGGGTAACATAGTTTGAAGGAGAATATTAGTATCTATTCAGGATCCAATGGTAAAGGGAATTCTATTGATGCTAAGTTGTTAATGTTTCTTCATGGTCTGAGAATGCTATCTACTCTAGTCTGTACCAACTTGGAAGTGGAAGGTAATTCCAAACGGTGACTTGCTGAAAGCAACCAGGAGAGGGCCTATGGACACTTTTGTCATGTCCTTAGGAAAGCTATGTCACTAGCCTCAAACCTATTTTCTTGATCTATTACTAATTAAAAAAACGAGAGATATAGAAGAATACTTGTGTGCTTATATTTTTTATCGGTAGATGTGCTGATATTTGTTCTTTTCTAATTTGTGTCTGATTTTAAAGAAATTGATGGGGTGTAAAAGGGTGAATTCTTGTTATAGATGGTGTCCGCTATTGGGTATAAAGAGTAGTATATTCTAGATTGTGTAAGGTCTACATGCCATAGTTTTAATTTGACAACTCAACCAGACCTTGGCTAAGCTGGCTTGACTAGATTCTATGCAAGTCAACAAAGTTTCATGAGTCAATTCAGTTTGATGGCCTTGTTAGTTGAGCTGAGTGTTGGCTTCTAAAATTCTGGTAGACCTCCTTTTTGATCTATATACTTCTTTTTTCTAGTTTATCTTATTTCAATATCTATTTGCTTGGCAAAAAAAGTACATATTCTACTGAAATTATATGAAGTCGTTCCTGTAGGGCACCAATAGTTCATGGAAGTTTGTGCCACTAATGGGTACTTCTGTTCTTGTGTACACACATGGTTAGGGGGGATGGTTGAACTGTATTTTCTTTGTGAAATGCAACTGTCTGGTTGTATCTCAGAAATTGTTGTGATCCTCTTTTTATTTGTAGATTGCTCAATTGTTTCCTAGTACAATTTATTGATGTGGCTTATTCTGTATTAGCTTTTTACTGGAGAAGAGGAAGAGGAAGATTTGTCCAACAACTTTGTTGTGAAGACATGCCAGAAATTTATCCCTGTCACTTGTAACCTTCTATCTCCTATTTTGCTTTCCTTTTTCTATGTCAAACCATTTGCTTGGTTGGGAATATACTTTTAAAGATCTATTATCAGTCAATATGGTCAAAACTTTGACTTCTCTAGATATGTCTTGGAAGGAAATATTACTGCATACTACCTATGATGGTGCTCTCTTTTCTTATTAAATAAGGTTGACATGTTATTGGTCACTCTTGGACATATAAGGCTTTGTGGTATTGATTGTTTGTAGTGCTTCCTTGCAGATTTTTTTATAAGTGAAATTTTATTAAAATAGCAAATATAAGCAGTACAAGCATCCCTTAGAGAGGCACAAGATGCTGCCTCTCTTCATAAAAAATAAAATAATTACAATTGAGCCCAATATAACTGATTTTTATTCACCCCTAGCATCACCATCCCATTTGCTGATCTCTTCACCCAATGTATCCTCAGATATGGTAAACCATTTAAATTCTTCATCTCATCCCTAAAATATGGTAAACCATTTAAATTTCATCTCATCCCTAAAACACCATAATACAGACTCTAGTTCCCTTAGCCCTCCTACCACCAATTTTAAGTCCCCGCAATGTCCAAATTTACCATATTCAGGTCGTATGCAATCTGTAGTCCTTGTAGTGCAGTAAGCAATTCAACTGTAATGGAATCACCTACTTCCACTAGACCAGAAGATAAGGTTATGATGTGCCCTCCATCTCTCATCACCCCTCCTATTCAAGAGGGACTTGGGTTGCCTAGAGGCCCTGGACTACTCCCATCAAAATGTAACTTCACCTAGCCTTCAACAGGAAGCATCCGATGTTAGCTCTTTCCTTTTGGGGTGAACTTCAGCCACTGCCTTCCAATTTCTCCACCATATACACTAAAAGGAGAATTGTGAGAAAGAGTCCAAAGTTCTAATCTAGTGTATTACCCTGACCATTACACATTCTCTTCTTGCTTCTTTGCTTCTCTCCCTCTTTGAAAAGATCCTAGCATTCCTCTCTTCTTATAGGGTCCAAACTAATGCTGCTCTCACACATCTCCACGTAATTCTTCCCCTTCTCTTAGGCTAAACAGTAGAAGGATCGAAAAACTTGTGCACCTTCGTTGGCATTATTTCACTTGCACCCAAACCATAGTTTTCAAGGCGCCAAGGCGAGTCTAGGCGACAGGTGGCGCCTTGTCGCCTAGGCGATGGATTTTTTTAAGTAAAAACATGTATCCTAGGGTAGTTCCCTAGGTTCCATAATCATATTTAACAAATATCCATAATTTTCATAAGAAAAGTATAAACTTCATGTTAAAGTATAGAAAACCAACATATTCCAACATATTCCTGAGAAGAAAAAGAAGAAAGAAAAGAAAATTCAAAAAATATTGGGGCTGAGCCCCCATTTCTGTTATAGGAAAAGAAGAAAAGAAATAGTGGAAGAAGAAAAAGTATATAAACACACAAAATTAGTAATGAAAAAGAAGAAAATGTGTTGATTGGACAACATTTTATGTTCTTCCTTACTTATTGGTTCAGGTTTTGAAGTCTTTGAGGGTTTAATACAGCATTTAGCAATGTTTGTGTTGATTAAACCCTAACAAATAAGAAAATAATAAAAAGAAATTAGCATATGAACATACAAAATGAATATTTTAGTTTAAAAATGTCTATTTTATAATTATAACCTCAAAAAATTAAGAGTATAAAAGTTTTTTATAACATGCTATAGAAAACTGCTTGGTGATTAGGTGAGGCGAGCCTCCAAGGGCGCCTGCCTAGGCATCACCTTGACAACTATGACCCAAACAAAGCGAAAAACTATTCCCATATATCTGTAGCAAAAGGACAGGCGATTAGTAAGTAGTAACAACTCTTTCCATTGGATTTACAGAGAATGCACTAATTTGAAGAAACACATAGGGAAAGGTCTTCTTTTTATGCAAACAGTCTATGGTGTTAGCCTTCCCATGAAACACTTATCAACAGAAAGCCCCTATTTTTGGTAGGAGTGGATAGACATCCAAGGTGCTAAGTTCAAGGTGGAAAGTCCTGAGGGGATCACTGATGCTATCTTAAGGTACCTCAAGGAGTGGATAGACATCCAAGACCATCGATTAATTTTTATGACAGTCCCATTTTGTCAGAAGAGATGAGTTCTTAGTTGGAAAAAGAATTCGAGGAATTTGAAACTAAGGAAGAAGTTATGAGCATGGATGGGGATAGAGCTCCTGGATCAGATGGTTTTCCTTTGTTGTTCTATCAGCTCTGTTAGGATACCATCAAGCAGGACCTTCTGGAGGTTTTTAGAGACATTTACCATTTAACCATTGTGAATAAAGGAAACAACTCTACTTTTATTAGCTTCATCCCTAAAAAGAAGGTATTTTGGAGGTTAAAAGCTTCAAGTCCATTGGTTTAGTGGGAAGCATCTATAAATTAGTGGCTAATGTCTTGTCTCCTCTTCTTTGTAAGAGGAAGGCAGATTACCAATAGCATCTTAGTGGCCAACAAATGTGTTGATGATAGAAGACAAAAGGGAGCTCCAGGTGTGGTAATTAAGTTCGATCTCGAGAAAGTGTATGACAGAGTCAATTGGGACTGCCTTCTGAGAATGAGGTTAAACTTTGATGGATGCTCCTTGGGCAATCCAGGCAAGGCTGGTATTGGTGGAGTGGTTCAGGGGAGTGATGGCATTGTCTACTGGACTTTCAGTGGACCAATTGGGGAAGCTGATTAGGCTTAACCACTGCAGTGCTTGCTGCCCTAATGGGGCTGTGATTTGCTAAGAACCTGGGTATCTATTTTTTAACCATAGAAGGTGATTCAGCAAATACTATAAAATGGTTGGGAGTGAAGGATAGTGGTCCTTGGAGGCTGACTCATTTCTTGACTGAAGCTAGAGATTTTGAATTCAAAACTCTATTGCTGACGGGTTAGCTAAATCTGGTGCTCTTTTGGATGTAATGTATTGTGAATTGTGATCGTTCTCTACTGGCTAATTTCTGCAGGCCTTCCCACTCCTTTGAGTTGTACATCTTCTCATGTATTTCTCTTCTGCTTCTTTATTTTAATATAATTAGTTACTTTCTTTAAAAAAATAAAGGTCTTTAGCTGAGCTATTATGCCTAGTTTCTGCTGCAGTTGCTAGTATTTATCATTGAAGATCTTTAATGTTTCTCCTCCAACTTTTTCTTCATTTACAGCTGGTTACGATGGCAATCAGTTTGTCACTCTTCAAGATGGTGTATGGAAGGCAAGTTGTTAATAAGGCTACATGTTCAGTTTTTAAAATTCTAACACCTCATCTTCATTCTCAGCTTCTCACGTTTAACTGATTTTACCAAAACCCTTCGTCCACCAAACTGAATACATGAACAGGTTTATATATATATGATGTATGTTTAACCCCCCCCCCCCCCCAAAAAAAAAAAAAAAAAAAAAGATGTACACTCCAATAATGCCCATCTGCATACCATATGTTTAGCTAGTGAAAATATAATTATCATTATTACTATGTTATATCACTATTGCTTGATTTCCAGTGGCCTTCAATTTTTTTTTGGCAGGCAACACCTCTACTCCTTACAGTAGCCGTTATTGAGCTCAGCGATATTGCCTTTGCTGTTAGTTCTTTTGATTTGTGTTAATTTTTATTTTCTCTTTTCTTTTCCTAGAAAACAACTCTCTGCTTGAAGTTGAATTAAAAAATTTAAGATATTTTTTGTTTCTTGTAGGTTGACTCAATACCGGCAGTTTTTGGTGTTACACGAGATCCCTTTGTGGTCTTCACTTCAAATATCTTTGCCATTTTAGGTAGTTCCTCCTCCATTTTATAAGGCTTTGTGCTTTTGTCTTAAATAATTACCCAACCCTCTCTGGCACAAATTATATGTATTTGAATATGTTTGGCTTGGTTCCTATCTTGGAGTTGGGTGATTTTCTTTTTTCTTTTTGTTATTTTGTCATTATTGCCTTTATGATCACAATTGTTTATAGGTATTTCTTTAACTATTATGTACAAGAAGAAATATATAATAGCATATCTAATATTTGGTATTGCAATTAGATTGGATTATGTTGAGGTTTTAGACAAATTGTGTAGTCTATAGTGGTAGTTTTTGATTATTTATTTAGATCAAGGTTTTTAAAACCTAACCGGACAATGAACCGGTTAGGGTTCCGGTTCTCAGGTTGAACGGTCCGACTGTTTGAATCGAATGGAGGGCCCATTCTGACAAAAAATTAAAAAATGACCAAAACCGTTGAATGGTTTGACCACCCGGGTCAGCGGTTTGCTGACCAAATCAACGTTTTTGGGCAAATTAACCGTTTTGGGGTAAAACGGAATCGGTCACCTGATTGGTTCCCGGTTTTTCTGGTCCGACCATCCGGTCTGATCCGGTTTTGAAAACCATGGTTTAGATAGGAAGTGGGGACCACAACACTCTTGTTGGGTCCTTTTTGAGCAGTTATTTTAATTGTTTTATGCTGTTTTATGTGTTAGCTACCCTATAAGGGCATATTGGTCTTTGTACTCTTTATTATTTTAGACTATAAATAATAGTGAAGAGGGCGGCCAACATTATTGCTCTCCTCTCTCAAATCTCTTCTCTTCCTTTTCTCCTTTCTTCTCTTCTTCTTCTTCAAGAAATATTCTTTTCTTTTATAGATCTTTATTTCAACACCTTTCTACTTGGTATCAGAGCTTGACTAGGGTTTCTTGAAGTTTTTTCCATGTAGTCCTAGATCAGTCGATTGCATGAGGAGATAAAGGGTTGATCGATCTATTTCAGATTGCCAAGTTCTTGGATTTTTTGGTGTGATCTAGTCATTAGGAGGGTGATATATGTTTTGGCATCAAAATCAAGAAGAACTGGAGTGTGGGGAAGAGTCCTAGTCAAGTTGGACTCTTCAATTTTGATATGATCTTGGGCGCTCAGGTATTGTTGGACTTCTCTAGGTATTCTATAGGGGGTAGTTAGGCTTTTGGAATTTTCTGGGCCTTCTAGAGTGGCCGATTCACTTTTCTCTTCAGTGGAAGATAGTGGGAGGAGAGAGATTTCTCTCCAAATAGGGTTTTCTTCTTCTGAAAAGGTCTGTTACCTTTGTGTGTGAGATCGATTTGATCTTGGAGGCTCTCTACCTAATTATTTTATGCTTTTGAACTGTTTGAAGTAAAATGAAGAGTTGGAGTACCGAGCAGAAGTCCACCGGTAACATGGGTCTAGGTGTTGGAGGTAGTAGTGATATTTTTGGGTCTAGAATTATTACTAGAGTGAAGTTTGATGGTACAAATTATCTTGAATGGGCACAATCAGCCAAGATGGCCATTGGTGCACGTGGGAAACTGGGGTACATCACTAGGGGGGAGAAGAAACCTAATATAGATCCCTCCCGATGGGTATAAGAGAATTACATGGCAATGACCTGGCTGTGTAACTCTATGTTATTACCTCACATTGGTAAAATTTTTTTGTGGGCTAATACTACAAAAGAGATTTGGGATGGAGTGACTGAAACCTATTCCCAAAAACAAATGTAGCTAGAGCCTATCAGTTAAGGAATTAGGTGATTAGTACAGAGCAGAGAGATAGACCTCTTTCCACCTATTTCTCCATGCTGAAAGCTCTTTGGCAGGGGATCAACCACTTAGAAACTGTGGTTTGGGAGAATATGAAGGATGCAACAACCTATCAGGGGTTGGTAGAAAAGAATAGGGTTTTTGAGTTCTTGGTTGGGCTGAACCTTGAATTTGACATTGTTAGGCAACATCTCTTAAGTGTGACTCTTTCTAGAGAAAGTGTGACTCTTTCTCAAGCTTATGCCTTTGTCTCTGGGGAGGAGACTAGGAGGAATGTCATGTTGAGACAGCCTGGAATTGATCAATCAGCTATGGTTAGTATAGTTAAATCTAAGCCAAATGGAGATAGGGGGAGTAGTGAGGCTAGGAAGGAGGACAAGAAGGATTTGATGTGTGACAATTGCAAGAAGACTAAACATACTAGAGACACCTGTTGGGAGCTTTACCCTCATCTTGTACCAGCTTGGATCAAGAACAAGAAGGGAAATGCAAATGTGGCAATTATAGGAGATCCTTTAGGACCCCTCTCCCAGGCTGATCTAGAGTCCATTGCAGCAACAACAGTGAGGATTGAATTGGAAAAGTATGGACAACTTATGAGTAAGAAGGATTCAACCTGTTTTAGTTCTTTAGATGGGTAGAACATTTCAAGAGCCAACCATACTACTTCCTTTGCTCATACAGGTAGTTTATATGTAGTTGCAAATCATGTATTCACCTCAGGTAAGGAGGTACCTCCCTGGATTATAGACTCAAGAGCATCTGAGCACATGACCAATATATGTACCCTCTTTAGTTCTTACCAATTATGCTCTAGTAGAGATATCTACAGCAGATGGTTCTCATATTCCTATTGCTAGGAAAGGGACAGTTAGAGTGACTAATGACATTACTTTATCCTCTGTCTTACATGTCCCTAAACTCCACACTAATCTTCTTTTAGTAAGCTCTCTGATAAAAAATTGAACTGCTCAATGACCTTTCTTCCTTGTAATTGTGTTTTGCAGGATTTGGAATCAAAGAGGACGATTGGGAGTGGTCATGAGGTGAATAGAGTCTACCTTCTGGATGAGATTCTGAGACATCAGAGCCATCGTGTTAGTAGCAACAGTAGTAGTGGATCAGAGTTAGTGAGTCAGATTATGCTCTAGCATAATCGTTTGGGTCATCTTTTTTTTTTTTCATTTCATTGAGGTTTTTTGTTTGTAAAATTGTTTGAGTCTGTTCTATTGTCTAGTTTGGAATGTGAAAGCTATCAGTTGGGAAAACATTGTAGACATTCTTTTAAACCAAGTAATAAAAGAAGTTCCTTTGCTTTTGATATTGTTCATACTGATGTATGGGGTCCTTACCACATTTCTTTCATGGGTGATTACTGTTATTTTCTCTTGTTTGTGGATGATCATACACGATATTATTGGATATATCTGATGAGATCATGTGATGAAGTATCCATTTTGGTGTAACAGTTCTACCAGTGGTTCTCACATAATTTTGGAGTGAGGAGTAAAGTCTTCAGATCAAATAATGCTAGAGAATACTTTGAGAAGGACTTATCCTCGTACTTTTTTGGAGCATGGTGTGATTCATCAGAGTAGTTGTGCATACATACAACAACAAAATGAGGTAGTAGAGAGGCAGGATAGACATTTTGTGGAGGTGGCAAGGAGCCTTATGGTGTGTGCCTCAGTTCTTATTCGTTTTTGGGGGGATGCAGTTCTCACAGCCATGTATTTGATTAACTGTGTTCCTTCACACACTTTGGGGAGATATTTCATATACCTTTGAGAGTTTTTGGGTGTGTCTCCTTTGTTCACATTCTTGGTCCTTATTGCAAGAAATTGGATCCTAACGCCAAGAAATGTGTTTTCCTTGGGTATGCTCAAAACCAGAAGGGGTATTGTTGTTATGATCCAATGTCAGGAAGTAGGTTTGTTACTGTGGATGTTACCTTTTTTGAGTCCACTTTCTTTTTCTTGGGTGGTTCTCCTTAAGGGGAGTGTTTTGGGGAGGAGAACTCACAACTTGTCCCTCTTTCAGTGCCATTTGTTCCTTCATCTGATTCACTTATTCCACCATCAGCAACTGCAGTCCCACTGCCTGATCCTCTATGGCTAGCCCCACAGGTCTATCAGTGCCATTAGAAGAGGGTTGACTCCACACATGCTTAGATAGAAGAACCTGCACCACTATTCATGACTCCATCTAAGATCCCAGGTTTGGCTAATACAGTTCTAGGTATTTTCCTTGAGCCTGAGCCTGCTATTTCTCTTGATAATGATGTTTCTGTATCTAACACTGTTGTGGCAACTGATCCCTCCGATCTTGATCTTCCCATTGCACTCCGCAAAGGGAAGAGAAAGTGTACAATCCATTGCATTTCACACCATCTCTCCTACAGTGCCTTATCACCCTTCTACCGTGCTTTCCTTTCTTCCTTAGATTCTATATGTCTATACCCAGGTAGGGATGGCAATTTTCCCCATCCCCGACGGGGACCTAACTTCCCTGACCCCATCGGGTCGGGGATGGGGACAAAGATTAATAGGAATTCCCGATCGGGATCAGGGATGGGGATTGAAGTCCTCGCCCCGCCCCGCCTCGCCCCTGATTATATATATTAAATATATATTATTATATTATTTATATATATCAAAACATATTTAAAACATTATTTGTAATTTAATTTTTTTATTTATTTTAAGTAAATTTATTTTTCAAAAAATACTATTATCTAAAAAAATTTCGGGGATTCGTGTCCCCACGGGGAACCCATCCCCGTTGGGGATTGGGGATGGAGGACAAATCTTGTCACCCATAGGGATCGGGGATGGGGATGGGGGTTAATTTTAGAATCGGGGTCAGGGACGGGGAATATGATCCCCGCCTTGAACCCGCCCCGTTGCCACTTATACTCAGGAATATTAGTGATGCTTTTTCCAAACTTGAGTGGAAACTAGCTATGCAAGAAGAAATGGAAAATTGGTTAAAAATCAAACATGGGAAATAGTTTATCTTCCTACAAACAAAGAGACAATCGGATGCAGATGGGTGTTCACTGTGAAGTACAAGGCTGATAGCATCATAGAGATGTACAAGGCAAGGTTGGTTGCAAAAGGGTATACACAGACCTATGGTATTAATTACTTGGAGACTTTTGCACCAGTTGCTAAGATGAGCTCAATTTGAATTCTCGTCCCTAGCAGCTACCTATTCGTGGTCTCTATTCCATCTTGATGTTAAAAAGGTTGTCCTTAATGGTGATCTGCAGGAGGAGGTATATATGGACATTCTAGTTGGTTTTTATGAGAATGTTGGTAAGGGAAAAGTTTACAGGCTGAAGAAATCACTATATGATTTGAAATAGTCACCTAGGGCATGGTTTGATAGGTTTAGAGGAGCACTTATCCGTTTTGGGTACACACAAACTTAATCCAACCATACTCTCTTTGTAAAAAGGAGAGAGACACTCTTGTTAGTATTGATTGTATATGTAGATGATATAGTTGTTACAGGAAATGATCTGAAGGAGATTGATGCACTCAAGAAGTCACCACAGTAAGAGTTTGAGATCAAGGATCTAGTTGAACTGAAATACTTTTTGGGGATTGAGGTTGCAAGATCCAAGTATTGGATTTTCATCTCTTAGAGGAAGTATGTGTTGGATTTACTACAGGAAACTGGGAAGCTAGGAACTAAACCAGTTGATACTCCTATTGATTCAAGCCATAGAATTAATGCTTTGGATGTTGAATTGGTTAAGGATGTAGGAAGATATCAGAGGATGGTAGGTCGGCTACTATATTTATGTATGACACGTCCAGACGTCTCCTATGCTGTTAGTGTTGTGAGCCAGTATATGCATGCTCCTCTAGTTCATCACTAGGCCATTGAGAGGATACTTGCATACCTGAAGAAGCATCATGGCAGAGGGATTCTTTTCTCAGACCATGAAAATTTAAAGCTGGAGTCCCACACAGATGCAGATTGGGCAGGTTTCTTAGGTGACAGGAGATCTACATCAGGGGTATGCACCTTTGTGGGAGGAAACTTGGTCTCATGGAAGAGTAAAAAATAGTCAGTTGTGGCTAGATCAAGTGCAGAGGCTGAATATAGATCTATGGCTCATGGTGTTTCAGAACTACTTTGGGTGAGATCTCTACCGAGTGAGATTGGAATAAAAGCTGAGGAGTCCATGATGTTATATATTGTGACAACCACGCTGCAATCAATATTCCCTACAATCCAATTCAGCATGACAGGACTAAACACATTGAGGTTGATAGTCACTTCATAAGAGTGAAGTTTGCAATCAATATTCCCTACGATCCAAAGGGTGACAACTGGAGAAGTCTGCTTGCCTTATGTCTCCTCTAAACTACAATCGGTTGATGTCTTCACCAAAGGGGTTGCAAAGAACAAGCTTGAATACAATCTACGCAAGTTGGGAATGTGTGACATTTACTCCCAACTTGAGGGGGAGTGTTGAGGTTTTAGACATAGTGTAGTCTATAGTGGTAGTTTTTGATATTTATTGTTTAGATAGGAAGTGGGGACCACGACACTCTTGTTGCGTCCTTTTTGAACGGTTATTTTAATTGTTTTATGCTTTTTTATGTGTTAGCCGCCCTATAAGGGCATAATGGTCTTTGTACTCTTTATTATTTTAGACTATAAATAATAGTGAAGAGGGCGGCCAGCATTATTGCTCTCTTTTCTCTCTCAAATCTCTTCTCTTCCTTTTCTCCTTTCTTCTCTTCTTCTTCTTCTTCAAAAAGTATTCTTTTCTTTTACAGATCTTTATTTCAGCACCTTTCTATTTAACTGTCCAATAAGATGTGCTGAGAAGCACAAAGCACTGGATGTGGAGACACAATTTCTAGAATAATAGAACATTGGAATTAGTGATCGTGAGATTTAAAGCAATTTATTAACCATGTATCCCAGCCCTAAACAGATTAGTACTATAACTATGTCCTGCTACTTGAAATGCAAGCCTATTTTTAACTTTTTCTATAGATATGCCTGTGAGTCTTGGTTTCTTCATTGGGCCAAGTCAGATTCTGAGATGCATCAGATTCTGATTTCTGTTGTTTGTGTCCATATAACAGTGGCTGGTTGGCAGCACTCATGAATATGTTGATCAGACCCATCTTGAATATTAATGCCGATTCTTTATTTCAATGGTGGAGATAAATGTTGGCCAAGCTCATCTTAACTGTGGAAGGTGACTATTTATTCAATGGGGGCAACACATATATTTAGCCACCCAAAATGATTGGCCGAGTCTTAGCCAAGTCGAGTGGAGTTTGGTTCCATATTTTTGGCTTTGGTATTTAATTTTTTTTTTGAATCCTTTCTACGCATTCTGTTATGCTATCAAGGTGCCATTTGTAAGAACAAGAGACAGTCTTAACAATGCTTCACAAAATTTAATTCTTGTTATATTTGCTTTATCCTCTAAACCTTAAAAAGATTAAAAGAGTACACTTGGATTTGATCATATTACCGTCTGATACAGGTTTAAGGTCACTATACACTCTTATTTCTGAAAGTATGTCAGAGTTGGAGTATTTACAGGTGACTCAACTGTCCTTTTCTGCATGAATTTATATAACATTTAGCATTGCTTTACTCGATAATTTCTCACTTCTGATTAATAGGTCCTTTCTTTTCCTGTTTATAAAATGCATACTTCGGTAAGGCATTTTATGCCCATTGTAGAACCAGGTTGAAATTACTATCTTGGGTATATGATGCTTCTTTTCGGTGCTGTTTATACTTAAAATATTTCATACAGCTTTCAGAAATGATGTACTTTATGCTAAGATTTCAACCTAGTATCATCTCTCTTTGCCATGGCTGGGAAGTTATAGATCATGACATTATTTTCTGGGATAATTCTTGATGGGCATGGCCCCTTCAATGTTTTAGATTCTACAATATTCAATTACAGTATCACCAACCATTTTCCTCTGAAAGTCAATTCAAACTTCCGACACTTTGTGAAAGTTCATGCATCAGTTATTAGGACTAGGTCATTCTAGTAGAATCTCCCTGACTATACGGTTTACATCTTTGCTCTATCTTGTTGTATTGAAGTGTTTTCTTTCTTATTTTTCAGTGTGTTTTTTTGCTCATCTTGCTGAAATTCTTGGTGTTTTAATGTATAAATGTCATATGATGCTAATGTCTCTTTCATATCTTTTCCCCCTGGACAGCTGTCTTTATAATATCTTTATATGGTTGATTTTGGATTTGCAACTAAGTATTTTCTTTGTCCCTTTCAGCCTGCCATTTCTATTGTTCTGGGCTTTATCGGGTGCAAGATGATCTTGGATTTCTGTGGTGGGTATCTTCCAACTATAGTATTGCATATTCCCTTCCTCCCTAGCCAAAAAAGAAGGAAAAAATTAGAAGGAACAAAAGGGAATAAAAATGAAAAAAAAAACTTTATTTTCTCCCTAATATTTTATTTTATATTTATATATATTTTTGCAGTACAAATATTTGACGTGTCTCACTTTTTTTGCAGGGTACCATGTGTCAACTGAGGTTTCATTGGGTTTTGTAGCAACTAGTCTCAGTGCTGGGGTGCTGTTGAGTCTCATGAAGAAGTCGGACCGAAAGAATTGAATCCCTAAAGAACAAAAATATCGGGTGAAAAAATCTATGTTATTATTACCAATTACTTGGCTTACACGTAGAGGGTCACAAGATCAATTCTGTTTAAAATTTATTGACAAAACCAAAGTATCTACTAACAGAAGGGAAGCAAAACTATGAGTACCAAATTCTGATAGGATGGAAATGTAAATTGTTAATAACAGAATTTAATGTGCTATTTAGTTTAGTATTTGTATTGTGCTAAGATTATAATACAACATTTACGAAGAAAATCAATTATATTACTATTAAATAATATTAATAAGAAAATTTAATATAAACCAATGCATTAGTGCTCTCCGAAAGCACTAATTTTAACAAGAAAACTAAACCAATGCATTAGTGCTCTCTGAAAGCTATCATACTTTCTTGGTATGAATGTCCCAGAGAGCAAAAAAAGGATAAAAAGGTCAAAATCCATGGTTGGACTGGTTGAAGTTCTTCGGGTGTAAATGGAGACGAAGGAGAGAATATTGCTGATTGATCTATCTAAAGATGAGGGGGACTCTTCATGGTGTAGTGAGGACTGAGGACTATCATCCCGATTCCAAGCCCTCCAAAGTATTCAGGAGGAGAATAAAGATGCGAAATTTCAGTTATCCCCCAAACCCGAAGTTGTTGAGAACCTGATCTGGTCTTTTATCCCTAGCTGACCTTTGAAAAGAAACGTATTTTGCTAGCTAATTCTAATTTTACAACAGGAACCCTCAAGCAAGGGAGCTTGGATTTCCTAACAAGAGCTCTACCCACACTTGCCAACATGACATCACATCCCCACATAAGGAATTGTATGCTATTATGCATGGGGAGATGTTCCCAATTCATGGTTGTAGTGTTTTGAAGGTAAGTGGGTAGGAGATTCCGAGTCCGAACCATAGATCTGGCAAAAAGGCGACCCAACCCTTGAATGACGATGGATTCGGTGTAGGAGCAGGGATGCCATAGATCTTAGAACTTTTGTCCACATAATAATTGGATTAGATGCAGATTTCACTCCATCGGATTTGATTAAGATCTTAATTTGATTAAAATTTAGGCATTAATGATTTAACGGTGAATGTGACTTTAAATATAACAGAATGGCAAAACAGGATTTATGTAACTGATCCCATATATTTGCGAGATAAGGTATGGATGATGATAGTGGCATATATATTTAATATAAATATACATTGTGTGCTTTCAATAAACATTTATGTTATATATAAAAGTTTAATAGTAATTGTTTTTTTTTTTAATTTTTATGTGTTTTATTTCAAACACAGCAAAACAAATTGGAATTCAAGCATGGTATATTAGATTTTGGATCTGATGTGGGGCAAAATCTTGGTGCATCAAAGGCACGTGATGATAAGTATATTTTGTTAAATGTAAATTGATGAAAATTAACTTAAATTTAACCTAATTGATTGAGGTATAAAATTAACATGCAATCGAATACACAGTAGTTGAACTCATTGTTTGGATTTAAAATTTCAATAATCTGTTCCTGATTACAGGCTTACAGCCGTATTAACGATGTAAAGAACCTGCCGTTTTGCGAGCTCAAATAGGCGTCCAACAAACCAGCAAGGAGCCCGGATCTGCTCCTGACAGACCGTGCCTCACACCGACCTTATAGCATGTTTTGGCCGTACATCGGGAACATCTTCCATGCTTGCATTATTATTTATAGGGAAATGATTCCCAATACAGGGTGAGATGTGGTTGTGAGGAGCAGATCACAATTCACCAGTAAGTCAAGAACAAGGAGAACCTATTTAAGAGGACGTGGGATCTCTTGCCTGAGACCGGATCTGCTCCTCACACCTGGCGCCTCTCAGGCGCCTCACACTCACATCTTACCATGCATTGGGAACATCTCCTGTACTTAATAGTTATTATTCACGGGAGATGTTTCCCAATGCACGGTGGATGTGCCTATGAGGCTCCCATTTGTGAGGAGCAGATCCCGCTTCCTCTTGCCCAAGAGAACTCTGCCCACACTTACTCACAGCACACTACTCCCATGAATTGGGAACATCTCCCCCTGCATAATATTATGTAGGAGGATGCGATATTCTCTATGTGTGGTTGCGATATTATGTGGGCAGGAGATTTGGATTCATCTAAGAGTTCGGATCTACTGACTACAATACATTGCCAGCGATGCTCATATAGTTGTATGTTTAGAAGATCGGTGGTGACAATGCAACCAATCATGGTTTTCAAAACCGGACCAGACCGGTTAGGTGATCATTTTCGTTTTCCCCAAAAAATTGGATTTTCTGCCAAAATCGTTGATTTTGGTCAGCGAACCGCTGAACCGGGCGGTTAACCGTTTGAACGGTTTTGACTATTTTTTATTTATTTTTTATTTTCTTGTTAGAATGGGCCGAGCATTCAGTTCAAATGGTCGGACCGTTCGACCTGGTCACCCCTGATCGATTCGGTCACCGGGTCGATTTTAAACACCATGCAACCAATGTTCCATATGTGTAGCTGGATGAGCGTGGCCAACAAGCAGATCCGTACTCCCTATTTAATGGGTTAACTTTGGCTGGGGCCATTCTACCCTTTTATAAATTATTTTACATACAAAGTTACTTAAATAATCCCATTTTAACTCAACAAAAAAACATATTTTGAAATGATCGTTAAAAGAGGTTTTTGTTGAGTTAAAATAGGGTTATTTTAGTAATTTTGTATGTAAAATAATTTATAAAAGGATAGAATGGGTATTTGAAAAAAATTGATGCATCAATCTAATGTTTTTCGTCTAGAATAATGATGAAAGGGAGATTTTTGTTGAATTTTTCAAAAATTCAAGGGAGGTATTTGTTAAAATGAAACTATAGGGGAGATTTTTATGATTGTCAAAAACTTCAAAAAGGTTTTTGTATTTTACCCTAAAATGTAATTACTAATTTATCCATTCCCATGGTAACGAAATTCTCTGCTGTTGGCCTCCACAGCTAAAGTTTTCCTGGCCAGCTTGTGAAAACCGAAAAAGAAGTGGGAGAGACATGTAAATTCAATTAATACGCCTTTGTCCTACGTGGGTTTTGGTTTGTCCTTCAATTGTTTAGCACCAGTCAACACGTGGCTATTCTATATTAGATAACATGGGATGGACCCAATCAATGAAAGAAAGCGTTGGCCCATTAATTTCTCTTCATTTATTCTTTCATTTCCGGTCACCTTCGGGTTTCCCCTTCTTTTAAGGAAGAGGCTGACTTGCATCGTGTATCGACAAAGCAGCCCCATCCCCCGAGTCAACACAAAGTTTTCCAAAACTTCATTCTTTCGGTCTTTGCGTGAAGTGACCGTTCACGTGGCACGAAAACATCCTTTTAATTTATAAAAAAGTGGACCCCACTGCATTGTCCCCTCTTTTATTTATTAATCCATCTTCCCTTGATTCAGATGGACAGATCATAACCATACACAACTATCAATTGATCGGGCTGCTCCCTTATTGCATCGTAGCACGTACATACGTACGATCCTTTAAATACGTGGATAGTGTCCATTCAATGCTCTACCATAATTGCGCGGAGCCCATCAACAGAGTCCGGATCAGCTGCCAACAAAAGATATTCCTACAACCTACCATTCTACCAACATGTTAATACACCATACCGTGTGATGGTCTCAAAATCAAATATTAACATAGAATGCTTTCATGTATTTTTATCAGATTTGAACGCAGAGATGAATGAATGAATTTGCTTATAAATTAATGGATAAATTTCTTAAACTATCTTTATTTATAGTTTAGTTAATTGATTAATTTATCTTTATTGTTTATATATTGTATTCGAGTACTTCTAAGTCATTTCATATTTGTCTAAAAGTGTCTTAGAGTACAAGTAGAGAGAGAAAGATAGTGTGTGTATATGCGTGTGTGCACCAACGGCCAACTACCGTTGGTGGATGATGAAACAAAATAGGGCGGAGGAGGCCATTGAATGGTCCCATATATATATATAGAGAGAGAGAAGGTTAACATATCCTCCACTTGCTAATTGCTGCTCAGAGGCTGACCTCTTCAGGCCATAGATCTCTTGATGATGTCCTCTATAGTATAGTATACTATAGAAACCTATCCACCCAGGTAAGAAATCCAAAATTTCAAAAATATCACTGACTTGTCTATTGGCCAGAGAGTCCCACAATTGGACTTCGGAATTGTTCTGCAATGGGTTATCCATCGGGAGTCCAACTGACGGTTGTTAAAGGAGCATTGATTTGGTGCTCCATAAGACTATGTTTAGAAAAAACCAAACCAAACATAGCTGACACCGTAGCCCCTTAACGTCATAGCATCCTTCCCTTGGAAAAAATCTATACCTTTTATAGGTTTTTTCTGTTCGGTGTGAGAATCACCAACATGTCTCAGGCCTTTTGTCACATAACCATGAGCACTTTCTCATGAATCATGATTGGTGTTGGAATGCAAACCATCTGTTTGAATAAATACTTATTAGAATTTAGAAATTTAGTATACTCAACTACTTATTTATTTACAAGTAACACTCTTCGGTGCTATCAATCGGTCACCCAACAAGTATTTATGCACGCACAAGACTGTGGCATCAAGAACAAGAAGAAATAGCCATTTTTATAGTACTCGCGACACTAATAGCTTAACAAACAATTTTACCCATCCGAGAACCCACTTGAGACAGACCCAAGTGGGTTTCAAAGCTATTCATCGTCAGGCGATGTTAGGGGTGTTAAATCTAAGGCTCCAAATGCCCAAGAAAGGGAGGAAAAGCCTTTATTGCCTATTTATCTTGTTTGTGCGTTCTACTCCCATTGGTTTGAGGCTTTGGAGTCTTTGAGCTCGTGAGCCCATCAAGTAAGAGTTGGATGGAATGATCGACGACTCAGTGGTTAGAAAGAGTCGAGTTCAATGAATTAACTTTGGTCCATTGCTATTTGCTTCCTCTACCGTAGTGGAGAGTCTGGAGACCATTTATTGTTATGTTTTTGTTCTATTACAATCTACAGTATTGCCGCTGCTGGAAAGGTCTAACATCACTGTGATATCATCCAATGCACCTCTGTGAAGAGCTTGGTTTGCTGTTGCTGAAAGGAAGATGATGGTGAAGGAGGAGGGAGGGGGAGAGGGGCGAAGGGTGATATTGGATTTTTAAAAAAATTGTGTTACGTGGTATCACATGTGTATGGATTTTGATGGAACATTAACGAATGTTAATAACAGGGGTAGAGTTTAATTTTAAATTTAGCAAAAATTTTCAACAAGAGTGGAAATGAAAAGTTGTTGGAAACTTTGGTGCATAAGGTATTACTTTGGTTAATAGGTGATATCTAAGCTCGACACCTTGGCTCTTAAGGAGTATTTGTGACCAAAACAAATGTCAGCCTCAGAGTGATATTTTGAGAACATGGACTCCGATGGTTAAATTAGTAATGCTAAAAATTGAGAAAATGAGCTGAAGAGCTCTGAAATGTGATATGAGATGAGTTGAGGTGTGCCAAAATTTGCAACAAAATCAAATATTTTTTTTTAATTCAAATCATAAAATTAAATCAATTAATACTCTTCTGGCATTGTAGAAATTTAGATTCCTTGACAGGACTGGAGGCATCCATCAAAGCAATATATCAACTTCTAAAACAGTGGAGATGTGTTCATGAATTGAAAAGTATATGGAAAAAATAAACAACATGGCTAAATCATTGGGGGGGGGGGGGAGGAATGCAAAATGATTTAATCATTACAATAATCCTGGTAAATATTATACTGTGTTATAAATTTATAATTTATCGGCGTCAAGTCGTTCTTTGAACTTTGAATGAACGAACTATGGCTGCTCTAACTGTAAATTCATTACATCAAATGCTAATTCGTCACTCGTGACGTCTCAATCGAGACATCACGAGCGACTACTGCCACTATAAGAATACCAGAATACCCTCTCGTCAATCCATTCCTCTTCAAAAAGCATCAAAGCTCGAACACCTACAATGGGAATTGGGTTAGATTTCGAAATTCCATCCTTCGATTCTGCAACTTTATTTACCAATGCTCTTTATCTTCATTCTGTTGTCTATTGTTGAGGGGTTTATGACGTCTCTCTGTTCTTTCTTTTTTCCTTGTTTTCAGAAGCGTTCAGGAGGTACTTCCCCCTGTCCTCGATTCTACTTCCGCCCCACCTTCTCTTTTCGATGGAACGACAAGGTTTATTCCACATTATTGCATCTTCTCTCTCTCTCTCTCTCTCTCTCTCTCTCTCTCTTTCTTATTTTACTTTAGAAAGAATAAAAAGATTTAGGTGCTAAATGGACATTTACAGTTCGATCAGTTGATCAATTTCCAATTTGTTCAGTTCAATTGATCTGATGGTGACTTCTCTCTCTTGAAGGATGTATATATCTTACACATGTCCTTACTCGCAAAGGCTATGGATTACTAGGAATTGCAAGGTTGTGAGCTCTACTAGTAATTTATCTTCTGATAGTTCATATTTTAGATATATTACTGGACTTCATTTCTTGGTGCTCTTAAGCTCCTAAAATTAGGGTATGGGTAGACTCTTTTGGGTGTCCTCTCCTTTCCTCCCTTTCTCAATCTTCCTTTTCAATTTTCTGGGAAGCAGGGTTTGCAGGATAAAATAGAATTGGTTCCCATTAATTTACAGAACAGACCCACCTGGTACAAGGAGAAAGTCTACCCTGAAAACAAGGTAATATTCTTTTCCAACTGTTTTGGAGATTTAACAAAGACTGTCACCATTTCTGAAACCTCATTGGCACAGCTCAATGATATGCAGTGGAACTCCTTTTTGCAGGCACCATCATTGGAACACAATAACCAAGTAAGAGGAGAGAGTCTGGAGTTGATGAAATATCTTGATAGCCACTTTGAAGGGGGTCCCTCCCTTTTCCCTGCAGATGTAAGATTTTTAAAGTAAAATCTGTATTGTAGATGGATTTTAATATATTTGGCTTCAATTTCTTTGACATAATTCCTATTCAATCCAATAATGCAGGATCCTGCTAAAAGAGAGTTTGCAGAAGAGTTGTTATCCTACACAGACACATTCAATAAAACTGTGTTTGCATCATTCAAGGAGGATGCAGAAAAAGAAGTTGGTAAGATTTGTTTCATTTGGGCTGTGTTTGGTTTTGATAGAAAATAAGTGAGGAACATCAAATTCAGGGAATTTTCTTAAGTAATTTTTGTGAAATTTCTTAAGAACTTTCCCTCAACTTTCTGCTTCTCTCCTATTTTCTGATAAACCAAACATAGCCTTGGGGATTTAATGTGGCAACAAATCATGCTATATGTTATAAACCATAGGCTGACTTGCATGGATAATCTCTATATCATCAGGGGCTGCTCTTGATCACTTAGAAACCTCTCTTTCCAAATTTGATGATGGCCCTTTCTTCCTTGGCCAATTCAGTCTGGTAAGTAGCTAGGGATTTTACCTTTTGTCAACTAATGCAATCCAAAGTCTGTGAGACTTCTTTCATTGGTTCATATTAAATTTCTATTTTGCTGACTGACTTTATCTTACACAAGTGGGCTACCTCTTGAGTCTTGACTTGGTGTAGCCCAAAAAGTTTGACCAATTATAAATATTTATGCTTTCCAAATTCTATGGATCATTAATTCTTAATGTAAGTTTATCTAAGCCAACAAGTTGTTATAAAATAGAAAATTAATATGGATACCAGAGAACTTGGGAAAGGGTACAAAGGTAAATTCACGTTTCTCTTTTTCCTTGTAGCAATGTTCTGTTAAGATTAATAAGTAGTGATGAATACATTATCAGGTGGATATAGCTTATGCTCCATTTATTGAAAGATTCCGTCCCTTTATACTGGAAGTAAAGAAGTATGACATCACAACCGGAAGGCCTAAACTGGCAGGATGGATTGAGGTAAAACAAACAAAAGAGGAGCTCTTATGTTTCAATATGCATTTCTAGAATTTCAGGAGTTGATGGCTTTCCTTGATCATGTTGCTTCATTATGTGCATTGTTTTTATGTTTTTTTTTTTTAAAAGAAAAACTAAAAAACAAAAGCACTTTCCCCCTCTCTCACCAAAAATTTTTACTTGAAAATAAATCGGGTTGGCCCAAGTTAGCATTTTATACTTTCCGGGCTCAGGCCTTCGGACTGGGCCCATTCAAATTTTGACAAAAAACCAACCCGGGCATGCTCAAATTGCACCCCTATTCAACTGATGGTGGCTTAATTGGTAGGTTCTCTGACTCGTGGGCACCCCTATTTGGAAACTCTTACCTAGATCATAAAATTTTCTTATCTAGAGGTTAAGATCTAATAGCTGCAATTAAGGGATTAAGAGCTTTTGTGGCTACTTTAATTGATGATCGTCTCCTGTCTTTCAAGGGTTATACATCTTAGGCCCCGTTTGGTTCATAGGAATAGGGGTTTGATATCGGAATTGGAGTGGGTTATTCTGATTCCAACTGTTTGGTTGGGCAGAATCAGAATCCCATATTCACCCCTGGTGGAGTGGCATTCCCCCATTTGAGGGAATAGCCATTCCCTCCCCCTCCTTTGGGAATAAAATCCCATTCTTGCTGATTTCAATTTCTATTTTCATTCCTGTTTGAACCAAATAGACCATAAAAATAGACCCATTTCGATTCCAATTCTAAAGGATTTCGACTCCAATTCTAACTAGAAACCAAATGGACCCTTAATTATTTGTGGCTGGCACATGAATCCAGTTTTATTTCATTTAGAAGTCTAGAACCACATCTGCCTTATCCATATCCCTTTCAAGTTTCAAGTGTCTTCTCTTCTGGGAAGAACCTCAGACCTATACCAATAAACTGCTTGCACTGCCTGTCCATGATCATCCATGTATATCATATTCATACATGTCCAGATTACTTGAATTGTCTCCTTTTCTTTTAATTAATTAATTGTGCATAACTTTGGCAATTAATTTATGCACTAATAAAGAGTGTACACATGCACAATACATTCATGCGATAAAAATTATCAAAGCATGCATAGATCTGGGCTCATTTACCTTGTCTCAGTCTCCAATTTACACAACCGTGATATAATTTTATTGATTCAAATAAATGGGTGCTTTGCAGGAGATGAACAAGATTGAGGCCTACAAACAGACTCAACGTGATCCACAGGAGCTTGTGGAAATCTACAAGAAACGTTTCTTGGTAGCCCCGCTTGCTACACATTGATATATATTATCCTGATCACTTTGTTAATGATTAAAATAGCAAAGAAGATCAGAACAAAAAAGACAAGAAAAAGGTGTTATCTATTGCTTTTGTAGGCCTAGCTATGGGTATGGTATTGCTTTTGTGTCTTATTTTTATTGTAATGGATGTGAAGAAAAATGGGTCCATGTGTCCTATAAATGTCTTCAAGTTTTTCAGCTATCTATTTATGTGGTAATCTTATATATTTATTTCAAATAATTATAATACCATAAGTTTTATCATTTAAATACATTAAAGGGAAAATTCCTGATTAGTATTCTTTATTTTGACTCAAACTTTTAAAATGTAACAATATAATATCCAAACTTTCAAAATGTGATAATCCAATACTTGACGTTAACCAGTCCATTAATTAGCCGTTAAGTGATATTTGAAAAGTAAAAAATGCCCTAGGAATACATCTAATTCTCTTTATCAACCATCCAAACATTGACAATAAAATGAACAGTCACAAATTCTAGATTCTTCTAAACAGTCACCAACTTTTTTGAAAAGAAGAGGCTAGGATTTGGGACGGTTCAATTTTTTGTCAACGTTTGGATGGTTGATAAAGAGAACTAGATGGCATTCGAAGGGTACTTTTGACTTTTCAAATGTCACTTAACAGCTGATTAATGGAATGGTTAACGACAGGTACTAGAATGTCACATTTTGAAACTTTGGGTACTGGATTGTTTCATTTTAAAGCTCGGGGGACCAAATTACCACTCGAGCTAAAGTATAGGGTACTGATCGGGAATTTTCCCTACATTAAAATAGGCCTTAATTAATACTCATTAAAAAGATGTATCAATTATTCTGAAAGGTGACATGGGTTGTATGATACATACTAATACATTGCGATATTTTGAACCTTGAAGGCTTGAGCTAGTAAATTTTGTGTTTTCAACCTATTGTTGATTTGGCCGGTTGAATGATCGCCTAATGACTCAACAACAATTTCAGTTCGAGTCAAGCTCTAACATGTAAGATCGCAAAAATATTGATTTGGTCAATGACCTGCTTCTTTGGACGGTATTTATATTACTAGCAAATGTGCACATGCAAAAATGTGGCACTTTTTGATGACAATAAATCAATGATGGTAATGGTGATGATGATGATAGTAATAATATGAGTCCATTTTTTTACAATTTTTTTTTTTTATATTTCTGTGTTTAAACATAATTTTTATTATCATACTTACCATTTGTTGTGTCTCAACCTAGAACATACCACACTACAACATATAGAAAGGGCATGGTGCATTCTAGAACCATGATTATAGAACACACCATACTAGTCTGGTGTGTTTTGAGATGAGCCACATCTTTTCCAATCACACAAAACAACAGAACAATCCCTAAGTTCCTTGTTTTTTTGTTGAAAAACAAGTCCCTTGCCTACATACTTAGAAGTAGACCTGTTCAATGTTTGGGTAGCTCGATGGCCCGACCTGGCCTGGCTTGTAATAAGTCAGGCTTGATCATAATTTTAGACCTGCAGGATTGAGCTTGAACTTTATATGAGGGTTAAGCTTGGGCTCAAGACCTAGGCCTGATGGTTGGGCTCAAGACCTAGACCCGGTCTGGCCCAGCCCATGAACGTATCTACTTAGAAGCAACATGGCCACAATAAGATCTATTTAAAATGAAAATGAAATTGAAATTGAAAATTGCTATAAGAGGTGTGAGTGAGGACTAAATCTGCCATGTTGGATTCCAAAAGATGGTTCAGTTATTTTAGTTAAATTTGATCATTTTATGGACAAATTGAGGTGGGTATGGCTTTTTGGATCCAACCCTACAATTGGTTACAGGCGCCTCACTCCCAATGCAAAGAGGATGTGCCTGTGAGGCGCCCATTTGTGAGGAGCAAATCCCGCTTCAAGTAGATAAGGTGCAATGCCATACGGCCCATACCTGGAGAATAAACAGTCCCATCATGATACCTGAAAAGCTGATAACGTAGCATAGAAATTGGGACCAATCACTTTTGTTCTTTTTAATGCCAATCTGACGGTTAATAAGCGACACATAGCCATAATCGTGATAAAATAATCATTGGTCATTTTTCAGTCTTCTGTCGCAGACGTCTTTACCCAAGAAGAAACGTCTGTTGCCACCGTACTACTACTACCATTACTGCCTGCATTCTAACCTCATTTCTTTTGATATTCATTATTCATGCCATCTCTTCTTCTTCTTCAATCTTCACTTGGAGGATTCTATACTCGTATCCCATTTCGTTTCTCCTCCGATGGAAGCAGAGCTCGTCTAGGAGCAATGGCTACTGGGTCATTTTTTTTTAATATAAAATGAATCATTTATTTCTTTGAATTTCCATCTTTTTTTTTCTTTCTTTTCTGTTTTCCAGAGTTGGGGGGGGGGGGTCTTTGATTCTGCATTATTCTTGTTGTTTCGGTTGATGGATTAATGTTCCCTGTTTTTTCCTTGTTACAGAAGCGTTCGGGAGGTTCTTCCCCCTCCTCTGGATTCTACCTCCTCTCCACCTCCTCTGTTCGATGGAACGACGAGGTTGGTTGTATCTGAATTCATTCTTTTCTCTTTCTACCCTGGTTTCTCATTTCTTCAGTTTATTCTTTATTTTAATGTTTGTTTGAATATTGAAGGAGAAAAATTACCCTCTTTAGGTTCTTTCTTGATTTCCTTATGTTGGGTTTATTGCTTGAAGGCTGTATATATCTTACACGTGCCCATATGCCCAGCGAGTGTGGATTACTAGGAATTGCAAGGTTATTTCTCGGTTCTCTTCACCATTTGTTTTCTGTTGGTTCAATTTTCTGGGAGTCTCGATCTTCAATAAAGTATTTAGCATAGTTCTCTGACCTTTTCTCTTACAGTTTTACCTTTTCTATTATAACTTTTCGAGAAACAGGGATTGCAGGAGAAGATACAACTGATTCCTATTGATTTACAGAATAGGCCTGCTTGGTACAAGGAGAAGGTCTACCCAGTAAATAAGGTGACACGCTTTGAACCCAKACATGATAATGATATTACCAACATTTTCTAGACTTAAATAAGACAGTTGTTTCTCTCTTTCTGAAACCTCATTGATTCTTGACTTAGTTACATTACATGAAAATTTATAACTTAAAATCAGTGCGTTCATGGTGGTCTTGAAAACATGAATCCTTTAGATAACGAATAGGGTTAAGCTGAGAAGTCTTTTTATATTTCCTGTATTTGTTGCAGGTGCCATCATTGGAACATAATAATGAAGTTAGAGGAGAGAGTCTCGACTTGATTAAATACATAGACAGTCACTTTGGAGGACCTCCACTTTTTACTAATGTAAGATTGAGATAACATATGTTGATACCATTTATGAAAACCCATTTCTATAGCTTCAAATTTTTAATAGAGGCTATGCTCAAAAAAAAAAAAAAACTGTAGGATCCAGCGAAGAAAGTGTTTGCTGAAGAGTTACTGTCCTACACTGACACATTCAATAGAACTGTGATAACTTCATTCAAGGAAGATATAGGAAAAGAAGTTGGTGAGACTTAAATTTACTGTCTTTTGAGCTCTGATCTTTCAATAAATCAGGATGCATATGACCTTAAGCTAATGTACTAGTAATCTGTATCAGAAACTGCACTTGATTACATAGAAACTGCTCTTTCCAAATACAAAGATGGGCCTTTCTTTCTTGGACAGCTCAGTTTGGTAAGTGGATATTCCTTACATGTCTCCCTTTTTCCATGTTTTCATATTCTTTTTTTCCCGACACTGCTAGTCATGGTTTGATTATAATCAAGCATCAATAAACCAATATCTCCATACCCATCTTATGAAACATTGTATGGAGTTTTATATTGCTTTAAACTGGGTAAAAAAGTTCTGTTATTGATCAAAAAAAAAAAACCGGGTAAAAAATGTAGAACTTAATTTGATTCTCTTGTTTTGTGTTGAACTCTGATTTGCAACTGAACATGTCTAACTTCAGGTGGACATAGCCTATGCTCCATTTATTGAAAGATTTCAGCCCTTCTTGTTGGAAGTAAAGAAGTATGACATCACATCAGGAAGGCCTAAACTAGCAGCGTGGATAGAGGTGAAAATTTCTTCTTCGAGTTAGTTTGATTCATATCAAGTGTCTTTTTGTTGTACAGTGGCAAGTCGCATTAAACAGGTCCACCAGTAAAGTTGGATTTTCAAGCTATTGATTTTACAAAATTTCCTTGCATCTTGTTTAGTATGGCCCAATTTATCTTCTCTTGCAGTTTAGATCTACTAACTGCAGCTTTGGGATTAAAAAAATCTGGTTTTTAGTGCATTCTCATTTTCATTGTCTGTAACCTTGCTCAACCATTTTGTTGGCTCTGTCCACTCTTGCCATTCTATCCAATCAAGAGCTACAATCTCTGTTCATCATGTTCTCAAATCATTGTTCACTACCTAAAACCACATTTATTCCAGCTTATTCCCCCTTCTTATTCGATGTGCATCAGTGCTATGAATGTAGCTGCACATTATTAAACCATCTCAGTACCCTTTATTTTATAAAATTATCTCCTTTTCTTTTCTCTTTCTCACTGTATGCACTGAAACTTCCCTGGGGAATTTAGCACTCGATTTTGGAATATAGAATTTGGCATTTGGATTGTAGAGTTATTTCTTTGGACAAGATTACATGCATTCTGGTTTATTAGGAATATGGGGGACCAAATGTTGGTAAAAGTTGAAATATATGCATAGAAAAAGGGTTTGAATTTATGATTGTGGATTGTGGTTGTAGGAGATGAATAAGATTGATGCTTACACACAAACCCAGCGTGATCCGCAGGAGCTCATTGAAATTTACAAGAAACGATTCCTGGTATTCTTTTTTTCTGCTCAATGCTCACTCGTATGAATTAAAATTTTTACACCACTGTCCATTGTAAAAACCCCAAAACAGAAAAGGGCTATTGAGGTTGGCTGACCTTTATGTAATTTTTTCTTGCAGGCCCATCTCTGAAAATTATAATGGATTACTTCAAACAATATCTTGTCGATCTTCTTGATGTTTCAGAGTTTGTTAGCTACATTTGTATGTGGTGATATTGATTCAGGGGCATCTGATCCATCTGTCTTCACATGGAAAAGATACTAGAATCAATAACACATGTGATGGTTCTCCTACATCGATTGGTTCCTCCATATGTTGAACTCCTAACTTCCTTTCTGAATCCTTCCGAGAACAGCATATATGGGACTAATTAATTTTCAACCTTGTCACCCTTGCTCACTTGGGTGTTCAAAAACTCCAAAGTGTTATATGAATTGGCATGTTTTTACATTAATTACATTTAACAGATGGGTAGCAACATATATAAAATGTTTTGCTACGGCTTTGAAATCAAACACATATTCACGTCCACCTACTAATTGACCTCAAAAATTGGGACGACACATGGTGCATGCTTAGCCCTCAAGAGGCTAAGTCTACATGTGAAAATTTCCTACAGCATAGTCAAGGAGCTACAAATGCTTCGACAAAAAGGTTTTCCGGGAGAAATACTCGGTGTAGGATAGGAGAGAGACTAGGCTTGAAGATAGATCATTCTAAAACAGACTCCAAAAGTAGAGTTAAGCAATCTCTCTCTCTCTCTCTCAAGCTGAACAACAATGGTTTTTTACCTTATGCTAATCTCTGTGTTTCCCTGTTTCATTCAATGCTCATATGGGTGCAAACACAAGCAGCGGCAAAAATAACCACAACAGGAAACCTGAAGACTATGATAATAAGAAACTGGAAACTTGGGAAGAAATGAAAGAAGCACAGCAACGGACATTGTCATCAAGCTTTGGTGGTTCTCGAAACCTCATCACCTTGACATTCTTCGTCATCTCCATGCTCTACATTCTTTACTCCTCCAATTTCCTCCTTGCAAATGAACCTCGAGAATGTTCCACTTCCGCCTTTGCTCTTTCCACGGAAGAACATCTTGTAGCGGTTTCCAACTCTTCTTCCACCACGACCAGTGAACAAAAAGAAGAAGAAGAAGAAGAAGAAAAAGAACCGATACAAGAGAAGGAGGCCCCACGAATCGAATTGCCTCCGAAATCCAACTTTTTCGATACGGAGCTGAAACACATTGTGTTTGGCATAGCAGCATCTTCGAATCTGTGGGAGAAGAGAAAGCAGTACATAAAACAGTGGTGGAGGCCAAGGGAGACCAGAGGAGTTGTGTGGCTGGACAAGCCAGTGAGGACCAGGAAGAATGAGGGGTTGCCGGAGATACGAATATCCAGCAACACGACAAAGATGCCATATACGAATCGACAAGGTAGGCGGGAAGCGCTAAGGATATCGAGAGTGGTATCAGAGACAGCGAGGCTGGGGCTCAAGGATGTGAGGTGGTTCGTCATGGGTGATGACGATACAGTGTTTGTGGTGGATAACGTGGTGCGGGTACTCGCCAAATATGATCATCGCCAGTTTTTTTATATTGGGAGCTCGTCGSAGAGCCATGTTCAGAACATATTCTTCTCCTATTCAATGGCAYATGGGGGCGGTGGGTTTGCTATCAGCTATCCCTTGGCCAAGGCTTTGGAGAAGATGCAGGATCGGTGCCTCCAGAGGTATCCAGGTCTGTATGGCAGTGATGACAGGATACAAGCTTGCATGGCTGAGCTGGGGGTACCCCTCACCAGAGAAGCAGGGTTCCATCAGGTAAAAAACCAAYGCACCAGAACTATTGATTACTAGAATATAGCTAGGGCGGCTTTTGAATAATGAATCGTTCTTTCTTTCCCATTAAGYACTACTGTAATAGGCTCTAGCATCCATCCATCCATCTGGGTTTATACGTATATTGCTTATTTCATGCATGCACTAGCAGTATGATGTGTATGGAAAYCTCTTGGGCCTCTTGGGTGCACACCCCGTCTCTCCGCTAGTGTCGTTGCATCATCTGGACGTGGTGGATCCGATATTCCCCGGCATGAGCAGAGAAAAGGCTCTCCAACACCTCTTTCAATCTATCAAATATGACTCGGCAAGTATAATGCAACAATCTATCAAATATGACTCGGCAAGTATAATGCAACAATCTATCTGCTATGACAAGAAGCGATATTGGTCAATCACTGTATCGTGGGGCTTCGTGGTCCAAATCCTGAGKGGCACCATTTCACCCAGAGAGCTAGAAATGCCAAGCAGGACATTCCTCAACTGGTACAAAAGGGCTGATTACACTGCCTATGCATTCAACACCAGGCCTGTGACCAAGCACCCTTGCCAAAAGCCCTTCGTTTTCTACATGAGCAGTGTTCGTTATGATCGAGCCAAGAAGCAAACTGTGTCTACCTATTCCCGCTGCAGAGAGAGACAACCTTATTGCCGATGGAAAATGGCTTCCCCAGCTGCAATCGAGTCCATTGTCGTCTTCAAGAGGCCAGATAACCTTCGCTGGCGGAAGGTAATAATTAATTAACTAAGCTCTTCCTCAAGTACTTATTATTCTGTTAACCACCTCCACCCGCAGCCAGATCTATAGACCATAGTCTATAGGTGATGGGAGGTGTATTTCTCTGTATTTTGGTTGTTAACCAGATATCTTTTTTCCTGTGCAGTCACCGAGGAGGGATTGTTGTAGGATTCTGCCATCGAAGAAGAGTTCCACAATGCACATATCCGTGGGCAACTGCAAAGGTGGTGAAGTAACTGAATTGTAGCACTGGAGATTTAGTTTTTGATTCATTAATCTGTATTTTTTGGGGGGAGTGAATTCATGAAGGTAAGATCAGTTTCTGTTCACATTACTATAACTTCTAATTGGTA